TACTTTTGCTGTTACTAGGGTTTTTTTTTGTTCACTTATGCTTATAAGTGGATGAATTTTTGCTTACCGTAGTCCGTTATTCGCACCAAGACCCACACGTACGCAGTGAGACACATTGTATAGCTCGTCCAAATGCCCCACTCTTCTTCATTTTTTCGGTCTCATTCTCGTCCAGCCTCCTTTTTAACGGTTTTTCGAAGCCTTTTTCCACTTTGGAAGCACCGATTCACGCGGTTTCTTCACCTTCGTCGCACTATTTTCGAACCTGTTTTCCATTTTTCATCATAATATGGATTACCCAAAATTACGTGAACTGTGCCTTTAAGGAAAAGAAGACTTTTTTTTTCCTGTTGAGTGCCAAATTCAATATTCAAAATGTTTCGAGAGAAAATAAGCTGCGAAAAAATCGGCAATAGTTACGCATCAACCTCTTATTTTTCAGAACCCGTTAACACGGCACAGTTGTCACCACGTTAAGAAGCCGGTGATCTTTTTTCACACTAAATTGCTGCTTGCGGTTTTGTATACTAACAGCAACATTTGCTCGCTTACTGTATGGCATTCCCCTATCTTTGGTAAAGAATAATGAAAATACCAACGCAAGTCGTCAAGGTTCGCATTCGTATATACATATCCGCCGAGGCAGACTTACCAACTTCTACCGAACTTGCGTTTAAGATGATTCAGGTAAACAGGTATTGGAACATCATTCCTGTGATTGGCTTTTACGCCCTTGGTTCGGTTTAGATGAAGAGGCAACTACTCGAGCCCTTCGAGGACCGACTGCAGTCGATTGCGTTGCCCAGGATGACCGTGCTGATTCGGCTAGGTTAGGGGTGCGTTGCTCTTGTTTTTTTGACTGTAGCATGGTGTTCATAGTGTTTTAAAATATTGTTATGTCTTTCATTTGTTTTGCTTCGTATGTCAAAGGTTACTTATACATTTGCCTGATAACTGTGGTGCACCATTAGAGCAGTTCATAAATAAATACATATTATGCATCCAACTCCTCATAAGCATTATTCGAAGATTTTTCTTAGTCAGTCAATAGCTTTTTGAGCGTTTGGAAAGCAGAAATTGACACAACAAAGCGACTCGTTCCCACCAAACTACTCCAGTTGTTTGAAAAAGGAACGTCCTTGGAAGGTGCAGTCTAAACTCCCCATAATGACTATTTTATATGGAATTCGTGGTATCAACACCTAGTATTAAGCATAGTAGCATAGTATGCCAAGAACTCGAATATAGGGAACTGAGAATTCTTTATGAGGAGCATTTCATTCGAAAGACAAATGCTTAGAATGTGTTTTTGACAGATGCAGTTATAGAAAGCGCTAAGTGTGTCTTTTGAATTGTGTGTGTGTGCAAGTATGTATATGTATGTGGTGTGTTTATGTATGTGTATGTGTGTTATGTATACATATGTGTGCGCGTATATGTGTATGTGTATATGCATGTGTATAGGTGTATGTGTACGTTTGTGTATGTGTATATGTATGTGTATGTGTATGTCTATAGGTATGTGTGTATGGCCGGAGATTCATTACTTCTATTCCCTTGGACCTACAGGGTTAGAATTTGGTAAACGTACAGGCGGTGGGATAGGAGGTAGGAAGTGAATTAGCTTTACTACGTTCGAGAAGGTGGAATGTGTGTGAAATAAACGCAACGTGAAAAAATACGAATTTAAGTTGGACGTGGATGGTGTGGAATGAACTGAGTTACTCAAACACACAGGAGTCCAGCAGAACTCCACTCATAGTGGAAGGGGCGCGCACGAAGTGTAGAGAGCTTAGAGCCGTCATATGAAAGCAGTTTTTTTTTNTTTTTTTTTCTTGTTTTCTACTATAGCTACGACCATTGGCATCTTTCATAGTCCACGCCTATAACTTACATGCTTGATCATTTCAACCAATGCTCAGACAACTCGCAGTAAAACATGTAATATTCAAAATTGGGACGGGTTCTGTAAAATATCAGTGATCGATGCATATACCCTTCATGTCAACTTGAAATTGACAAATATATTTTTTTATGCATCGACCGTAATAAGACCGTAATTATAAAAATACTGCAACACTAGAATACACTATGTAAAATTGGGCTAACATTTTGTTGTCTATAGCAACAACGACATGCTGGGAAATCTCCTTACTCTATATAACGCGCTCGCGTCTGTCTCTCTGCCTGATTATCACGAAACTCTACATTACTTGGAGAGGTCGGGTCAAGTCTGGGATGGGTTGCAATAGGACAAGATCAACTGAGCACTTGTGAGCTTCGCAGATGGTGTTGGAGGGAGAGGGCTTTTCACAGCGAGCGGTACTTTTGACATGAGGTCATGACACGATTTGACGAAAGCCCGTAGGCCAGAAAAAACAGAAAGAATGGGCATGGAACAATATGCGCTGAGCATCCGATAACTTGGTGAAGCCCGCGTATAATGGGCGCGTCCATTCAAATGAAACGAACTTCTTAAAAGCATTTATAACTTCGTTCAAAACGTTCACTGCGGAAAAACAGTGATAATTGGTAAGAGATAGTTGAGAGAATGTGATCAATCCTCAAGTTGGGAGAATTTGCATCTAAGTGGACGGGGCCACGATCAAAAATCAACAACTCTGCGCAAAACCTTCAAGAGTGATTTGGTCAAATCCTCATGATTGATGTAAGCGGTTCTTGCACTCAGGTGGGCGAGCTATGAACAAGAACTTAACCATCTCAATAACGTTCTCAAATGCGGAGAAAACGGTAAGGGGTCTGCACTTAAGTAAGCAGAGCTATGGTCAAACACCCATAACTTTGCTAAAAATGTTCTGTAATACAAAAAAGGCTTAGAGGCTGTTGAAGGAAGGATGGTCAAATACCAGAAGGGGACGGGACTAAGCTCAGATCAAAAAGCTAATTGTAAGATCAAAAATTAACAACTCTGTCCAAAGTCTTCGTAACGTCCAAAGTCGTTTTCACCATCATTACTTGCTTTATGTGGCGAACACTCTTACATCCGTCTGACCACCCCGAAACTCGGTGTTACCCGAAAAAGAGGCCTTGGGATGGGCGGGGTTCGAGGGGAGCCGTGTTTCAGGGTGGAACATGCAGCGGAGAAGGCCGTGTAGAGGGGAAAACATCATTATTGGGTTTCGGAAAACTTTGAAAAAACAATGGGCAAGGGTTAGGGATGGTCAACAAAACAGACTAGGTAGCTCATCCACGACGAGCGAAGCTTCCTCGAACTTCTGGTATAAACACATAAGCCAACACAGCCTACAGCCAGATTCTTAGGAATGGAGCTCAGATCGTCTCTGTTTGATGCGTTCTTTGTTGTGACGCACCAATGTTGCGCGGAGACCAACTGCAAGGATCATACGTGATATTAGTGAAATTTCCTTCCCCAGCATACTCAGCTTTGCTGTTTCAGTACAAGTTTTCTCTATTATCCAGCCTGAACCACATTTTCAAAGCAGCAAAAGCATGTGAAACCAGAGACAATAATCAGAGGCATTAGATTCCAACACTGCAGGACTGTCGTTCAGCAATCCATTGAAACTACAATCATTCCCTCAAAAATTTGACCTTTTTCCATCATTACCGACGCATCTGAATGGTGATGTGGAAATGCAAAACAATTCGTTTCAAGATGAGATTAATCTTAAAAACGAATCAAATCTAGCTGCAACGCATGCCCATAACAGTGTAAAAACATTGGGACTAAATTTTTTGAAAACAGAAACGTAAAGCGAAATGAAAAATTCGATGGTTCCGAAACAGCACAAACCTAGAAACACATGTCTTATCTGTATCAAAGCTGAGCATCGATGGATTGTAGCTGTCCTTTCCAAACGGCACTTTCCCGGCCCATAGTTTCTCTTCCTCACTCCTAAGAGCGCACTCTTAGACAGCATTAAAAACTTTTCAGCGATAATGAACGAACCACTGATGTCGAGAGATTGTGATTGGGGCACCAGTGAACATCTCTATGTCTCCCTGTGCTACTCGCATCACGAGATCTCCTTTGAATGTCACGCCTGAATATTAATGTTGTACATTCTTACGTGGAAATACCGAGCATTATTTGGTTTGAAAACGCTAAGTACAATTTTCAGAGGTTAGCCACCTGCAAACACATGTTATAATTTCTTCAAAAAGAACAACGCAAAACGCCTAGTGTAGGAAGAACCAGTTTCTCTGAATTGAACAGGTCTACGCCTCACGATTAGCGCAACTGATCTAGAATGAACAGCACATCTACTAAACAAAACATAGGTGTAAAGGAGGTAGCCACTTAGAAATTCTGATCGCGAACTAAACCAGCGTACTCAAAAAAAACCACTCGATTATAGAGTAACCTGGTTGTGGAGGTCGCTCTACATATACTCCTACAAGTTCTATCCGCAACGGTGTGTACGTCAGCCCATACTTGTGCATTTGTGCAAAGTAGTAAACATATCGACGCTGTGAAGGTATTGTTACGCCCTAAAAACAACGAGGCTGGAAAAAGTGTAGTGAAGAAAATGAAAAAAAAAACAACAGCATTGAATGAAATGCTGTAGTATATTAACAAAATCTGTTGCATTTGATTGCACTGTTGCAACATGATTGACCGTTGAACTACGTGATAATTGGAATCATCTCTAACTGAAAAAATCGGTTGAAACGGTTCAAGACTATGAAGCCTAATAACAGTCTATCAAAATTCCAACAATTTCGAAAAAAAAAACACGGAATGTGAAAAAATACTCGCTCGGTGATGCCTTTCGAGTAGTTCTCGGTAAAACTGTCATCTTCTCTATCTAATGATACTGATTCTTCTCCTGTCCAATCCTGTGAAATCGTGCAACCCATTCAAAAAATAATCATCATAAAAACTTATTCTTAATATTAATTACACCGAGTGAACCGGAAACGTAGTACAGAACCGCTATCCTTTGCTTCTTTCCATCCCTTTCCCAGTGGCGCTCAACCTGACCTTTCTCCTTCCACCCGATCATTAAAATCCGTTCCGTAAAACTATTTTAGTTCATAGTTCTTTTTACCATGGATTAGCCATTGTAAAAAAAAGGATAATGTGAAATAGAGCTTTTTGGTAGTCATAAATACACTAACTTGAAAACAGAGCTAGAAACCACAAAAAATGAACTGACCTTATTGTTAACAGTTCTAACGATAGAATAATAATCCATTACTTGACGTGGAAGGGTATAAAAATTAATTGAGACAAGATAGGCGCAAATCATTACACCAGTCCGACCCTGAAAAATAGCATGGCAGCTCGAAGTAGCAGCGGAGAATGCGCGGATGACCGACCCATGAACCATTCAAGTTGTAGTTAATATGAGGGCTATATTTGTGAAAAAAATATCAGGAAAAATATTCATGATGATTACTTCACCTTCCCAGCTTTGCAATGCACAGCTACAACATTCCGAGGGTCGGCCTTTAAGTACTCGTTGACCTGTAATAATATAACTTGTAAAAAAATCTAATTGTAAGACACTGAAAATAAGAAAGCAGATGGAGGCATCATCATGCGACCTATCAATGTTTAGAAATTCCAAATCGCATCGTTCACCTCTCTGCAAAAAGGATCCATGAGATCAAGTCTTGGTGGGTGGTGGTCCTTCATATGGTATAGACCCACTCGCCCATGAAACTTCTCCACTTTGTAGAAATAGTTTCCCCGTCTAAAAAAAAATATTATGAAAACATATTTTACCATGGGAAGCTATGAAACTGACTTACAAATTGAATACTTTATAATGTCCAGCATGATTGCGTTCTAAAAATTTAACCGTGTGACACATACTATTACGATATAAACGTTCTATACTTTTTGCTGGATAACCCATAGCGATTATTCGATCGGTTATATCTGAAAATTGCTGGATCAAAAATGTAATACAAGTCACATCTAAGCTATTTTAGCAAAATTGTGAGCCATTAAAGGAATGCCTACATGTTAAATCGAGGTTGAAGCCATCCTCGGTGTAACGCCGCCGATTCTGACTGATCACAGAGCGTAAGGGATTAAATACTAAATCTACAACATCCTAAAAAAAAAAACATTAATGAGAGTATGAACAAAGGTGGTGCAAAGATATTGACTAAATACTGACATTAAAGCTCTGAAATGAAGGGTTCCGGGACGGCTCCACAAACTGCGAGTTCGGCGATACGGCTGCTTCTGCGAATGTCGACGTCCCATCCCCATTGGACGAGCCAGGTTCGGATATCGAAGAACTTTAATCAAAAGGTACTGTTGTCTGTTCCCAGTGAGGAATACATGAACTCGTACAAAACTCTCAACCACAACTTTTCAACGGTTTTACAATTACTAGCAGATGCGAAGAAACTCGAATGTTGAAAAAAAATCTCGAAAAGTCGTTTCGGTTCTCACACCAAAGCCATCATTTCATTTCTGAAGCGCTGAAGTGGAACAAACCTGTTCTTCTTGTCGGTGGTCGCTGGATCGACATGCACCCGCATCGCTGCGCCCTCGTCGCGCATTATAAGATCGCGGCGACTCGGTGTAGTTCTGACGACGCGACGAGGGGTGTTGCTGTTCGTTTCGGACCAGCGTTCTTGGAATCGGTAAGAGAGTGTGGCAAAGATGGCGACAAAGGCGCTAGCACGAAGGTTGTGCGAATTGGAGATATGCTTGCGCTCCTGCTGCGATGGTTAGTCAGTTTCACGTCTGCACGTATTCGATCCCAACAAACCACTCAAGACCCGACGCTCGATCAACTCACACCTGCCGCTTCTGAAAACACCCCAATGAACCAATCCATGATTTTCATTCAATAACATTCCAAGCGTACGCCTTCAAAATCGTACCAGAAATTCAGTCAACGCGTAATGGGCAAGTCCATTCGAGAAAAACGAAATTTCCGGGATTTATTCTGAAAGCAAAAACGAAAACAGATATGAATACCAGGTTGACACTTTGTTCCGCAAGGGTGATGAACAATAAAAACTATGAAGAACAAGAAGTTTCGCATTAAATATTACGGAGAAAAGGGAAATGGTTGTCAGCTATAACTTCTACGGTCTGAGCGTACAGATAAAACGATGTTAAAGCTCTGCACGATCTCAACGAAGAGAAGTAGAGTAGAGGTTGACAAGATAGAGCAATATTCTGGGGCAGGCAATAGCCGCTGATATATTGAACACATACTCCCCTTCTCAAAACTCAGATTGTAGAGCAACTGATAATTAATTAACACGCGTAACGGGTAAAAATACTCAAGTCATAGAGGGCAGTGACGATAGTTCAAGTGCTTCCATCGTGGAAAGATCTTTGATATCAATGAAGCCATGAATATGTCAGTTTCACTAGCTAGCCGACTAGCTTAGTACTGCTAAATTACCTACCTCATGCTCACACATTTTTACAGTGCGAATTACAGTTGCTTATGCAGTTGTGAAATGCAAACAAAGCACAACCACAAATCAACTCAGCTTCATAGCAGCGCCCAGTGTATGATAATAAAAAGGAAAAACAGCAGCAAATGTCTAAGCCGACGAAACCTTCATGAGAAAAAGTTCGAATAGAATAGAAGCAGCGACAGTTAATTCCCGTCTGGCGCACTTTTGAGAGGGACGCAGGCGGAATCGATTGGACTCGATGATCTTAGTGAAAGTGCACGGACGAACGCCCACAGCAAAGCGAAATGGCACTGCCACGGGACTGCTGCACGCTTGGCCCGGACATCATACGCATTAATACACAGGATGTACCTGAGCCCCGAAGACGTCAGCCCTAGTCAGAATAATGATAATCCTCACATCCACTGACGACTCGCAGCAATCGCACCAACCTTCCTCCCTACCATTCATGTGCTCCCCCGACGACGGCTTGACTCGTTCGTTCATTCCTACTTATGTGCCTGCATAGTCGAGTGCATTTGCACATGCACCCTCAATGCACTCAACAAAGTGCGAATCAATGTCGCGCTGACGAAATGTATCTCTCCTTCCACAGGCTAAGCTGCGTGAAAATTTCCTATTCGTCAGACACGCTGCAAACGCGGTTCAAGGCGTTCGTGCAAAAAGCTTGGTCAAAAACGATATGTCTGCACAGTTAGCATTGACATTGACTTTAATAACCTGTAAATGTTGCAGGTAGCTGTTAAATTTTACTAGGAAATTAAAATAACAATTTGCATACAAGGTGCTTAACTCAAAATCCTTTCACGAGAAAGATATCACTGACGTTGTTTGATTTGTGACCGACCGTAAGCATTGCAAAATATTAATATGCTATTAATATTCTCAGGTAAAATGACAAATGAAAATGGCTGACAACGACATTGCTTTGGCTGGTAAGCAAAACTAGGTTATGTCAGAAGAAAAGTCAATGCACAGATGACTTCAATTCTTTAACTCAACGTCGCCATACGAACGCCAACTACGAGCTACAATTAGTAATCTAATATACGATTTACTGCTCACTACGTTATCCTCCTGAACCGAGATCACTGATTTCCCAAATCCCCTTCCTCACTTACGCATTACTTCCGCGGTTACCTACTTTTGTCATCGCGACTTTCACAAGAAATGCTCTGAGGCTCGCCATCGGACTATCAACGGTGCCTCAGGCAATACAGGTCCTAATCGGTATGGTAAGGTGTGATGAGAGATGTTCTAAGGGAACTAAATAACTACTTCTTGAGTCGTATAACGGGGGTGAGGAGAGGCACCCAGAATGTGCTTTAAGAAATGCATACCGGGAGTCAAACGACGACCGACGCCAAGTGAGCAAAATTTTTTTACCCCTTTGGATGAAAAGAAGCTAAACGCGAAATGTCACCGAAAACGCTGAAATGTCTTGAGGACGCTGACCATGACCGATTTGCCTGCTCGTGCCCTTTGTGGGTGCGGATGGTTATGAGCTTCAGATTCGAAAGTAATGAGGAGTTCACGAATGATTGTTCAGAAAAACGAAAGGATTAATTCAGAGGTGAGGTAACAGAGCAAAACATCGGAAAAACTCCCTTGCAATACTGCCCCTAATTCATGTCGTTTTCTACGTTCAGTATGGTTTTTGCTCGTTCTTGACGTCATAGTAAGCAGATTAGTAACTTAGATTTAGTAAAAGCGATCTGCATCGCAAGAATTACAGATTGAGCAACGACTGTATCCTCCCATGATTATAACTCATGCAAATGATACCCAATTGCAACTGCTACTTGGACAAAAGGACCCAACAGCTCGTTCTACTCAAATAGAAAACAATTTCAAAACATTGCCATAAACCATAACTGGGATGAGAAAAAAGTTCTAGAAAACGAATACAGGGCTTGCCTGCGAGGTAGAATCGCGACTCCACCATTAAAGGTGCTTATGCTGTCGCGGTCCTGCATGGACAGATCGACGTACGGTCATGAATTGGAAAAGGAGCGACCTTGCAGCGCGGCGGACTTCTGCAATTCTGTTTCTAATCTACTCGGAATACTAGGAGTAAGTGAGTAAGAATTAGGTTCGCTAGGAACCCAAATTGGAATTGTGCGTTTGCAATGTACATTTTCTAGAGATGAGGACGTCGTCCCTGTTTCTTCTTAACGACTCGACGTGTTTTCCTTGTTTTTTGTTACATTGTTATCCGTCAATTTTTACATTTCACCTCTATGCTGTTTCTGAACTTGCTGTTTATACGAGCTTCGCTTGATTTTTTGAGTGCTCTGCTTGGTGCCATGTTAAGAGGATGGTAGGCACAGTAGGAGATCGATTGTTGAAAAGGCCAGTCGAACTTGCACACTTCTCAATCCCGTCCATATGATTATTAAAACTTTTCAGGAAGTTTACGGTTTCTGCGTTTAGAACTTATTCGGTTCGGTTAAAATGTAGTTGGAGGGGCGGGGCAGCGCCTTTTGAATCACTGACGGCTGGAGCGCAGGGAAAGAAGAGTAGCCGACTCCTATTGTTTATAGACATCTTTTTAACCAAAAGAATATTGTTTCTACCTAACTTCAAGGAGGGAGGGGCTCCGGGTGGATGAGATGGTTATCTCGTGCAAAAAGCTGGGATGAGATAGAAATTGTACGTTCAATCGGCTCACCCACCACGGAGCTCCTCCCCTTCCTAAAATTAGGTGAAAAATACACAGTTATAACATATAAAAGCTATAAAACTTTCCTAAGCACCATTACGGGCTCGGCTACCCTCCCTCTTCTACGCTTTAGCCGACAGTGATTCCAAAAGGGCCTGCCTTCCCCCCACTTATACTTGTATCATCATGCTAGGCTGATCTATTAGCTATAAAAATGCTTCGAAAAAATAATGCGAAAGACATGTAGTAATTGCACGTATACCTTTTGTGTATCCCACGAATCAGCTACTCTTTATTCCGATAGTCATTTGCCATTCTAGGTATGTCATTTCGAGGAAGAGGCGGAGGCCGAGGAGGTGGACGTGGCGGCGGTTTTCGAGGAGGTCGTGGTGGTGGTGATCGCTCTTTTAATCAAGGACCACCTGATGAGGTACATCTTCACATAATGTTCACGGCAAACAGTTACCGTCTTTCGTGTGCAGGTTGTCGAAGTTGGAGAATTTACTCACACTTGTGAAGATGACATCGTATGCAAGTGCACATGTGGCAAGATCCCCTTTTTCAATGCCGCTTTATATTTCAAAAGCAAAGAACAAGTCGGGAAAATTGACGAAATCTTCGGCAGTTTGTTGGATAATGTGAGTGATTCAACAACGTTTGTTTAGAGGGCCTATTTTCAATACAATATTCAATTTTGCAGGGCTTTTCGGTTACTTTGGATAAAGGTGTAAAAGCAACTTCATTCAAAGAAGGTCAAAAGCTGTACATTGATCCAGCGAAGTTGATGCCTATAGAGAGGTTGGTATTTTTCTCGAAGTGTGTTAAGGAGAGAAAATAGTCCAAACTGGAAAGAATCCGTTAATCTTTTTTCAGGTTCCTTCCTGGAGCTGCTCGAGGGGGTCGCGGTAGAGGTGGACGTGGTAGAGGCGGCGATCGAGGTCGAGGTCGTGGTGGAGATCGTGGAGGTGAAGGGTTGCAGAAATTTTTCTCCCGTTACGCAGTTTCCGTGGCGCTTGCTATCATATTTGAGTAGGCATACACCGAGGTGTGTGAGAGAAAATTATATGAAAACGATATGTTGGAAAGCAAACGTGAATAAGGTATTCCACTGCTCGACATAGAGTTTTGAATGGTTCAATCTCATCTAGACGTTTAGATTTGTTCTCAGAAATTTGCTTCTAGGTTATAGTAGAATAGTAGCGGTAGATGTCCAATTCTAAATCTAGGTTTTCGAGGCGGACGAGGCTTCAGCAATGATAGAGGTGGAAGAGGTAATCGCGGTGGTGGCGGTTTCGGAGGAGATCGTGGCGGACGTGGAGGTCGCGGTGGATTCAGCGGCCGTGGTGGTCGTGATGGGTTTGGCGATCGAGGACGTGGAGGAGATAGAGGTAGGCGCTATTTCCGCCTCTACTCTTCTCTTTTTCTCTCTCTTCCTCTCTCTCTCTTCTACTTTTCTCGAAGTTACTTGCAGACATTTTGGTAACAAGAATCTTTAGGTGGTTTCAAACGATCGTTTGAGGGAAATGGAACACCTCAAAATAAAAAAATAAAGTTCGAAGATTAGTCGTTGAAGTTTGATGTTTTGTTATGCATTGTTGTTCTTCCCATTATTATTATTGTTATTATATGTTCGCAGTTTTGCGTTGAAGCCATGGATTTCATTGTATTCATCTCGTTGAAGCCATTGCTACGTTGTTGATCTTGAATAGTCTTCTTGTTCATTACAATTATACAGTGAAAGTGACGGTTGTACAATGAAGAAAACTTTATTTCCAGGTGTTTATAGTTAACACGTCCCAAAGAGAGTCTGGTAGGAAGGGCAGCCCATCGCCTGTACTGCGATGAGATCGTAGAAAGATCCCATTGAGTCAGCGATGGCTTTGAGAAGAGCTGGCATAGCACCATCGGTCAAAAGCGCTTGACACTAAATGAAAGATGATATCTCAGATTGTGAAACTTTCTTGTCAATCACGGGTAGCGCTAGAATCCGATGGAATAGAGAATTTCGATATTCCAAGCTATTCCTAACGTTGAATATAATGATTTTCAGCAATCTTAGGAGAATCCATGCTTTTTAAAGTCATCTTGGAAGCAACTATAAAAACGTGTTGTAAAGCAGCTTCAGGTATAACATTTCGAATGGTACAATTTGTAATGCATCGGTTACTTCCTAAGTTCCTGAGCCAAAAGCAGTCACCTACCACAGGTGGAGTGATTTCATTGTTGACATTCGCAATAATGATGCAAGTTAGCTGAATGACCTGTGGAATTAGATTAAGCAGCGGTAACTGTAGAATCCCTGAAGCAAAAGCAAGTTGGTGTAATCGAAGCATACTGAAATATTGGAAAAAGATGTACCATTATTCATAAATTGGAAAAAGTAGTAGATTAAGAAACACAAGGTGCACAATGCGGGTGCAGGCTGTCCAGCTAGGACCTCAGCATGTGGCTCTGTAGTTAGTAAAATGATCATAGATGTGATAATCACCACTTCAACCCATAATTGCATCGTTGTATATTGAATATTGAAAGCTCTCGTCTTTGCTTCAATTTTTATTGTTGACAACGTTTCGGGCATAAGCCCTTCTTCAGGTCCACTGAATTATAAGCATAATCATAGTTATAACTATTAGACCAACAAGTAACAGCTTAATACGAGCAACGGTTACTCACAGGAGAGTTGAACAGCTGGCGGAATGGAGGCGGGAGATGGGATGGGGATGGGGGTGGAATGGGACATACCAATCGGTATCAGCTTAATATAAGTGCCGTAGTGAAGGGGTCAAGCCTTTATTGATATTGATATGAAGCGCATGGCCATCTTCATCTCCTCCTTGCTGTTAATCGGTGGGTTGAGTTTCTTTATTTCTAACGCTTCCTTTATTTTCCTTTCGACAGGATCTTCCACGTTTTTATGCAGGATAGAAACATAAAGTTCGGGAGGCCTTTCCTGAGGGTGGCGAAGAGTGCGATGCCTGGAGAAAGGATTTTCGGTGTAGTGTTGTGGACTGCGCAAAGCTCTTAGATGTTCGTCCATTCTCTTGCGTAGCGGTCTTGATGTTTCTCCTATGTAAAATTCTTTACAAGCAAGGCATACTACTTTGTACACCACACATTTTTCTTGGCACACCTCATGTTCTCCACAAATATTACAGTTAGTTCTTTCACAACGACTCTCATACAACCGCGATGATGTTAAAAGCTGTCGCAAGTTGGGTGGTGGACGAAAGATCAAGCTTATTGGAAGTCTTGATCTTTTTACTACGCGATTAACATCTCTCGCAAATGAGTCTGTGATGAAAGGCAACACAAGTGGTGTACAACAAGGTGTTCGGTACGGTCTCCAGCTTCGGAATGCTCCTCTTCTG